CTGATGTATCTGACAACGTACCCCCTCGCTGCCGAACAGCGCGTATTCGTGCGAACGCCGTCGGCTGTACGCCGGGCGGCTAGCAGAGGCAGTCGCCGAGCACGATCTAAACGACGTCTGTCACGGTTTTCATCACAGGGAACGAATCAGCAGTTCGTCACCGCCCTGCTGGCATCAAACGACAATGACAATCCCAGCGATTCGGACGGGAGCCGACTGCCGGAGAAGCTCGGCATCGTCGTCCGGGATACGACCCAAGACGATTTTCTCATCCTGATCAGCGACTACCTCTCCGAGCCGTTCATCGATGCCAACGAGAAGGACTACTGCCCGAGCTCCAACGACGAGAAGGAAATCAGCATCTGCACGACGGCGTCGAAGCAGGATAAGCAGCAGTGCGAGGACCTGCGCGACGCGCTCGCCGTGCAGTACGTCATGCCGAGCATCAAGTGCGTCGAGAACAGCGACTTCAAGGGCTGCCTGAGCAGCGTCGGCTCGGAGGGAGGTACCGACTATGCCATCATGGACGCCGGATGGGCGTATCAGGGCGGCAAGTGGGAGCAGACGAGACCCGTCATGAAGGAGATGTACGGCGGCCAGGACCAGTTCAAGTCCGTTTTGGTCGTCAAGTCGACCAGATCGGGCAATTTCAACATTCACGGCTTAAAGAGTGAGTCCCTTTCATCGCGAATACTCTAGCGACGGGCGTTTTCAATGCGTCTATGCGCATTTTTTTATTGTTTTGTTTCGTTTGTTTCGTTTCAATTCGTTTGTCCATCGGCAGGCGAATGCTGTCATTCACGAATTCCTCGTCATTTCGCGACCATTCTTGATCTCGCGTTTATTGCGTAGTTGACCGTCTCAATACTTACCCTTGCGTTGTCGCAGATAAGAGGGTCTGCGCGCCGTTCATTGGCAGTGCTGCGGGCTGGCTGCAGCCAGGAAGATTGCTGAGAAACGTGGGACACTTCAGCCTCCCTTACTGCCAGCTAGAAGAGAAGATGGCCTCCTTCTTCTCCGGCGGCTGCGTACCGGGAGCGACCAAGGGAAATCTGGTCAATCTTTGCCTCAACGGAGGCATGATGACCCATGACGAGCAGTATTTCGGCTTTGCTGGTGCTTTCAGGTAAGACTATCGCGATTTCTGGGGCCGTATGTACGAATGTGCGTATACATAATTATAATAATTTGACGCACACTACGCGTTCACGGAGGTGCCAAATGCCTATTGATAAATCAACGTCGATACATTACTGTAGATCTGCCCCAAGGTTTGTTTGATAATTTTTTTATGCATTCCTTCAAGTATGTACATTTTTTTCGTTTTAACTGCTATGAAATGGGAGTCTTGCTAAAAATGTGTGCATATGGTATTCTTCCTAAGTACATGCATTCATCTGTATACTTTTCCCTTCTCCCTCTTCCTCTCTCTCTTTCTCCCTCTCTCTCTCTCTCAATCTCTCTCTCTCTCTCTCTCTCTGTCTTCTTTATCATCGTTTTCACTGTTTCCTTTCCCACTCCTTTCCTTTCATCCTCCTCCTCCTTTGAGATTACACAGGCGCATACACGCACGTAAATGCATGCACTATAAATAACCGTGGGGCAAGCGTTTGACAGCTTGTGACACAACCAATACGGTTTACGTTCATAGGGGACTGGTCGAAGATACGTGCGATGTAGCTTTCCTCAAGGACACGACAATCGACGAGAACGTCGATGGCAGAAACCAAGACGATTGGGCAAAGAATTTGATTAAAAGCGACTACAAGTACCTTTGCCGGTATGCTGTTATCTTGGACAATGCTTTCACCGCGGAACGCAGAAAATTTCAAGATGGCGCACTCAATACTTGTCGACTCACTCGTCGAAGCACTAACTTACTGGTATATGCTTACATCTAGGGACGGCGGCGTCAGAGATACGGGCGCCGATTGCAACGCCGGTGCGACGCCGAGCAATCGTCTGCTGACGTTTGATCAGAAGCCGTGGGAAGACAGGTGGATCATGATAGATCTGCTGAAGACGGCGCACGAGTACTACTACAGTAAGCACAGCTTGCCGCTGTCACAAAGCCTGATGCTTCACGCCTGATGATCCACGCATGTAACGTTTCCCTCCCCCCACCCACATCCTTCACCTGTTATAAGCGCAGCTTGCCGCTGTCACATAGGCTGGTGCTTCTTAGCTCCACATACGCCACGCTCCTTTTCCCGCCCACATTCTTTGCTGCACCTGCTTTGAGGGCAGCTTCACCGTGCCGTGGAAGCATCACAAGTGATGTTGATGAACAGATCAAGAGAAACTGTTAGATTCCTACGGCGCGACACTCGGCGAAGGTTAACTGGGATTGGATCACATATGGGAAGCAGGAAATACCTGATGAATTAATAGTGATTTGAGGATAGACGTCAACCGGGAACCTCAAAACGGAACTACGATTTTAATTAACTGGGATCTGGGAAATGGCACATTTTTTACCTGAAAAACTTAGCATAGACCCCACCCCCCTGCTTCTACTAACGTTTAATGCTCATGCGGTGACAAATTTAACACCCCGCTCTGAGTTTACATTTATTCTGTGTTGGTGCGTTTTATGCCTACTTTTAAATACTAGCCTACTTACCTGCATGGTAAATCCTAATTACCTATACACGGTGTTTGCACGATAGTTAATTAACGTTTTTTCTATCTCTGTAGCTACCACCCAGGACTCAGGTAAATTCCAGCTGTACGGATCGCCGTACAACACCACCGACACTATGTTTACGGACAGCACCACCGAACTAGACGAGCTCGCCTCCAACGCCACCTGGTACGAGGATTTCCGATACTTCGACGACGGCGAATTCGTTCGAGTATTGAATGAAACCGATCCCTTAGACTGCCGTGCTGGCTCGGCCAAGCAATCAATCGGTCTGCTGGCGGTTCTAGCCATCTCTGTCGCTGCTTGGTTTATCAAATAAATGGCTTGTGCGTGCAGCGGCAACGAGACACATTGCGATCGCAGAATATTTTAATATCGATACAGCATTTTACAAGTGCGCGAACGTTGGACGTGGTGTAGCAGTAGCGTTAAACCCATTTTTACACAGATCTATAAGATGGATAATTTTAACTGAGAGGTCAGATTCGTAGTATAGGCTTCGATTAAAAGTGAGCGATTAATTAGATGTAGTTTGTCGGTTCAAAATCACGTTCAGAACTGAATTCGTTCTAAGACAGAGTTTGTCATTGACTGTACAAACATATTATGCGTATGATAAATTTTTATTCGTAAGAGGGATTTTTAGTTTTTGGTAAAGGCTATCATGCAATAATGTTATTCATGCCCCTGCGCACCCGAGTTTGAGTGTTAAACTCTGCTATTGCTTTAATCATCGGCATTGATCTACTGTATATTGCGCGAGCATGATCTACAACTAATAAGAGCATGAGCGTTACAATTAATTTGATATAAATTGCTATTTGTACATAATGTAAACTGCGTGGTCTGTTGATTTATTAGTCTCTGGACATTATGTGATCTATATAACGTAATCATGCGAATTTATATGACAAAATTTGTTAAGTCTTAAACCACAAAAACGGTCATCTGATTAATAGAATACTGACACATATCTTTGATCTTCATAGATATATAGCTTAGGGTGGTAGAGATTCTATGATTAACTGCTTCGTAGGTAGACCTATTAGATCACGATAGAAAATATACATGGAATGGCAATAACGTATGAGGCATAATTTATATCATTAAAATCGAAAAACAATATTAAAATATTTGACAATGTTATTCATTCTTTAACATATTTATCTAATTTTTTACAACGACAGTTGATAACCAAAATATAACAGTCGGGTTATAACAGTATATGTATTACAGTGACTGGGTGACGGGTACTGACTGGTTGCCAAGATGGCGTCATAATTTCGTTAGCTAGATAGGTATATATACTAACTCAATTAGAACACAAGCCAAAACGTTAACATAATATAATATTACATACATTTACAATGAACGCACAAAATTAAATGACGTTACAAGGAAATATAATAAACAATGAAAATATATTATACATACGTGTAACTATCGGTAAGTATATATATGATATAAAATACCCACACTGATTAAATTATTTGTAAAGTCGATAGTGCCATTGAAGTTTTACGTCAAATTTCTCCACATATATCCGTGTTTACCAGAAACACCCTTTAAATTTAGGCCTAACACACTTGTTCTTCCACATGATTATTCTTCCACTGTGTGGTGTACCTTGCGCCCCCGCCCCCAAACAGTACTCGTCAACAAAATATACAAAACTGTGGTATGGATCGTTATAGACTCTCGCACAATGCATCTGATCACCTAAACAATGTTTATATGAACATTGTAAAAAATGAAAAGGTAGTGCGTGTGGCGTGAGTGCGTGTGTGAGCGCTGGCAAACACACAACTATAACTCGCGTGGGTGTGCGCGAGTGCGTGGGTGCATACGCGCGCATGTGGGTGTGCTGCTATGTGTTAGCAGTCTTAGCTTATCGAATTGTACATATTTAATCATCTTTATGTTTTATATACATTATCCTAATGGATTTATTAAAATAATACTTAATTATTATATTATGCGTTATTATAATATTGTTGCTATAATATTGTGATCTTATATTGTTATATGTCAATGTGATAAATAATATTATAAAATTATTATCGTATTATATTAATATTATCAATACACATGTATTTATTGCAATTTATTCAAGTCTATATTATAATGTTTATCTGGTAATTTCATGCTCACTCACGTTACAATTGTAATGGCTCTTTTGTAAAGCAGTAATTGCAAAACTAAATATAGATACCAATAAAGCTTGAACTTAATTTGTGTATAATATGATAATATTACGTTATTGTCCCTCCGTCTTCAATAATTATACTCCCTTGGACTTTGAAGACTACTTACGAGGTTACGAGGTTACGTTATTCATCAGTAAAGAACAATGCATTGATATTTTAGCAGGCGCGCCATTGTTCTAGTGACGTGGTGCGCTGTTTTGATAATTGTGACGCGCGCGGCAATTGTTTCTCGAAAGTACAGCTGATGCGGTTCCATTTTAATAGGATGCTATTATTGTGATTAGATAGTCTTCCTACTAAACGTGATTTGATAAACACCTTCGGCTGATATAGTGTGATAAGCTACGATTTTGCGATGGATATATATTGTGTGACTAGTGCATAATTTTGACTAATAAAACGTTGAAATGTCGCAAAATACAGCGGCCAACCCCTTTCCAAGTGTCGGCGCAACAATTAAAGGACGCAATATGGTAGCTTCATCTGAGTCTATTGTAAAGGATTACCTTAGTCCAAAGCTTAAGGACCCCAAAGCAGTACATCTTGGAGATGAGCTAAGTTTGTACGGTGTTCCGAGAGACCATGATGTAGGGCTAAATGATACTGATATCGATGTCCGAGCACCAAGTTTTCTGGAAGTTCACTTGCTTTCGATATTTGAGCCAACAGAGAATAGGATTGCAATGAAATTGTTTGGAAGCAAGAAAGCGCTAGAGAATGAAAAAAATCGGCAGCGAGCAGCAGGATTTATGATCATACATCCGCTTAGTAACTTCAGGTAATTAAAACATCGAATGCGACTGACTGTGGCCGTTCAGGGTTTTCCCATAACTTCATAAACCTCGATATTAATTATTCTTTAAAATTCATCGCACTATATAGTAGTTCGAAGGTGTGAGACCAATGTTATTTAAAACGTAGCATTAAAACTACAAATTATAGTTAAATGACAATTCCACTTTGCTATTTACCAGTGTTGTAAGAATCAAAAGACTATATTATAACAGAATCAAAACGAATGCATGTTTAAACAATTCTTTTTATTGTAAGTAGAGACGTAGCGCAAACAGTAGTTGGCAGATGACGATCGATTGCAACAAGTATTACTATTAGACTAACAAACATAGCATGCAAAGGTAACGCGCAATTATTTCCATTAATTAATTAAATGTTTACAGATTTTATTGGGACTTAACAATGCTCGTGCTGCTGGTAGCAAACCTCATCATCCTTCCTGTAGCGATAGCATTCTTCAATGATGACCTTAGTGCCAGATGGGTTGTGTTCAATATCATGGCTGACACTATATTCATCATCGACATTCTCGTAAATTTCCGCACAGGTAAGAACAATTTGCACCAAATGACTGTTACCTACATTGTTAATTGTGTACTTTTTAAAAATGTTGAGCGTTAACTTCTAACATATGTTCGGAAGTAAATTTTGTATAAGACAATAGGTATTTGCTGTAAATACCTAAATAGCTATTACCACAAATGCATGTATAGTCTTTCTAGTACAGATATTTAGATCTTTATAGTATAGATATATGTTCATGCTGTTATTATTCTACTGTGGTGTACGCCTCCATGCGTGTGAGCGCTTGCGCGCGTGGGCGACCGTGTGTGATTGGGGTAGAGCTAGAAGTTTCGTTTGATAACAATAGATAACATCCTGATACAATATCAATATGCACAGGAGTGATGTCGCCTGAAACTGCGGATCAGGTGATCTTGGAACCTAGGGCTATTGCCCAACAATATTTAAAGACGTGGTTTTCGTTGGATCTGATCAGCTCGATGCCCATAGACTACATATTCTTCATATTTCAACAAATGCAAGCAGATAATCTCAATTCTCAAGAATTAGAACAAATCATACAGGCTGGCAGAGCTCTAAAAATTCTGCGTTTGGCAAAGTTATTGAGCCTTCTACGTCTTCTACGCTTGTCACGCCTAGTCAGATATGTGAGCCAATGGGAACAGGTAAGTGCAAGTATGGTTTCGTATATTTGAAAGAGAGAGAGAGAGGGAAGGAGAGAGAGAAATGTTAAAGTGGATAATTGAACATACAAATTAATGCTATATGCTGATTAGGTGAATTGAATGTTGCATTACATCATCAAATATTCTTCATGCACTCATTTATTGCGCATTTAATAATCTGTGAAATGTGTTACATTTCAGTTTCTGAACATGGCCTCACTGTTTGTGCGCATTTTTAACCTAATCAGCATGATGCTTCTCATCGGACACTGGAGCGGATGCTTACAATTCTTGGTGCCTATGCTGCAAGACTTCCCGTTGAAATCATGGGTAGCGATTAACGAATTACAGGTATGTAAAAAGTTTATAGGCCACGCGGAATATTATCCAGGGCGGAGAAAAGCACAGAAACTCTAGAAAAACGCGCAAATGATACAATGAATACAACTACACAATTAAAAAATAATAATTGACGGAAGTAGATTAAAAGTTTTTTTAATACTAGAATAATTCTCCCTCCCATTAACAACCATAAACTGTATTACATGTAGTTCCCGGACAAATATACCCAGCATAATATAATTCATATTACACAGATACTGATTACACGTAACACGAGAATATCCACAGTCGTGAAAAATTTAAACAGAAAGTTAATACTACCTTTAATGACTGAAAGGTCATATAACACGTCTTTATCGCATTTCTAGCTCGTTCCCTGGTATGAACAGTACAGTTGGGCGCTGTTCAAAGCAATGTCCCATATGCTCTGCATCGGTTATGGACGATTTCCACCCCAGCACATGACCGAGGTTTGGTTAACAATCTTGAGCATGATATCTGGAGCTACATGCTACGCTATGTTCGTTGGTCATGCCACTACACTTATTCACCAACTAGAATCTTCGAGGAGGCAATACAGAGAAAAGGTATCAAATTCACATATGAAATGCGACAGGAAAATTTTATTTAAATACTATACACGTATTAGCATTATTGCACAGGTAGTCAAAGCATTTTACACAGTGACCGTTTTGCTTGAGTGATAAATGAAATTTTGATTTATTTAATTTAGTTGCAACAAGTGGACGAGTACATGTGTTATAGAAAGCTTCCACGCGAAATGCGTTTAAACATACAAGACTTCTTCGAGCATAGATATGGTGGAAAGTACTTTGATGAAGGCAATATTCTAGGAGAACTGTCAGAGAAACTTAGAGAGGTAAATCATTAGTGTAGTGATCCAGTAATACACACACGCGCAGGGGCATATCGCATATTTATATAGATATAGATAGATAACATATAAAAGAGAAATATAGATAAACAATTGTTGTAGCCTGACGAAGAAACATACTGGCTCGAGAACGAGAACTATCATTCAAAGTGAGAAGATACCGTGTTTATATATTTCCTTCTAAATGGTGTTTAATTGGTGTTTATGTGCGTTTTAATTCCTACCATTCATCAATCCATCCATTTATACATCCATCCATCCATCCATACAACTCATCCATCAATCTTTCCATCCATCCAACAATTCATACGCCCGTCCGTCCGTCCGTCCGTCCGTCCGTCCGGTTGTGCTCCGTCCGTTCCGTCGTCCGGTCCATCCATCCATCCATCCATCCATTCCATCCATCATCCATCACATCCATCCATTCCACCCACCCACCCATCTATCATTCATCCATTCATCCATCCTTCCATCCATCCATCCATCCATCTATCCATCCATCCATTCCATCCATCCATCCATCCATCCATCCATCCATCCATCCATCCATCCATCCATTCCATTCCATCATCCATCCATCCATCCATCCATCCATCCATCATCCATCCACTCCATCCATCCATCCATCCATCCATCCATCCATCCAATCCATCCATCCATCCACATACCACCATCCCATCCACACCATCATCCACCTCCATCCATCATCCATCCATCCATCCATCCATCCATCCATCCATCTTCATCCATCCATCCATCCAGCCAGCCACACGCACATCACCTACCCATCCAATATATATATAATATATATATATATATATATATATATATAGGTTGGGTTGACGTTTTAAATTGGAAACTCGACAACTTGACAATGCTCTCGGATAAATACTTTAACATCGCATAAGAATGGGGTTTCTTGTAGTTCTTCCTTGTAGTGCTTTAATTTCTTCACAGGACGTCATCAACTACAACTGCCGCTCATTGGTCGCTTCGGTGCCGTTCTTCGCGAATGCCGACCCCAATTTTGTCACCGCTGTCGTGACAAAGTTGAAGTATGAGGTTTGTCAGCCAAGCGACATCATCATCAAAGAAGGCTCTATCGGTAGCAAGATGTACTTCATACAGGAAGGCATAGTTGACATCATAACAGCCGAAGGAGAAATCGCTACTAGTCTATCAGATGGCTCATACTTCGGAGGTATGTATTATCTTAGTTTTTTCAGTTGATAATGGGTACATTCCTCTCGGCGTGGATGAACGTCTACCAAGGGTCTTAGGTAATAATGTTATTACTGTTATTTTCAGAAATTTGCCTTCTGACAAACGCACGCCGAGTCGCTAGTGTACAGGCTGTGACCTATTGCAATCTCTTTTCTCTATCTGTGGAGCATTTTAACATGGTCTTGGACCATTATCCTTTGATGCGCCAGACGATGGAGACAATTGCAGCGGAACGTTTGCATAAGATCGGCAAAAACCCGAGCATTGCCATGAGTCGCGACACCGAAAACAGGATTGACCGTGTAAGTTGGAGTAGCCTATAGCGGATCTGTTCTTTGCAAGCAGTGCGAATGCGTGCGCTTACACGTATACCGTATAACCTAAAAATGCGTGAACAACACCCATACCCATTTAGAAAAACCTGGCAGCATTTTGAAATTTCATACAATAATTTAAATCTTCTAGGACAAATACCAGAGATATTATCATGTAATCCTTTGTGTCGATGTCGACTGATAAATATCAACTTTACTTCATTGCAGCCTGCGCTTAGCATATATGTTCAAGGTGCCGACACTGGTTCCAGTAGCGACGAAGAAGAGATCCGAAACTCTCACATGGTTATCCAGCACCGTGCGCCGACGATTAACCTCAAGGATGTCGATAACTCTGACATAATTGTGTAGTATGTCTACCGTTTACAGATGGCGCTGTCGTCTGTTAGCGATTATCCTGCGAGCGCCAGCTTGTCGCGGAATAGCTTCGATTCCTGTTATTCTAGTACACACATTCTAATAGATTTCTCAGTTGTTTGCGCAGTGATGGCCATGTTCAAGGATTTTAGTACAATGTGATATCCGATGATCCAATCGATCTATTTTTTCCCCATTTTTTCCATTATTATTTTTTACCTAATGCCAACCTTTTAATTCTCTAGATATGGCCAATACCTGCTTAACTGCTTATAACTATACTTTAGAATCGCAATGCCACCACTTAACAGAAATATAGAACATCTTAACTTTTAATGATACATATATATCTATATACATATAGAATATTTTTTACAACATGATTAAATTATGTTTGTATCCAAGTCGATAAGAGATATGAGAGCTTTGTTAGTACATAGTACACGTTTTTTCGCATATGAAAAATGATAAACTAGCCGGTTGTTATTAATTAGTTGTTATTTCATCCCGAGAAATGAAAAATAACGGACGAGTACTTAATTCGCATACACGAATAGTATGATAGTACACATTTACAACACACAACCCATCTAATACATAATGTATGCCATTCTTCCGCACGTAGATCACGTGGTGAATTACCGTCATCCATACTCTTGCTTGCGTTTGAGTTTTAACATATACGAAGAGTTCAGGCAACCCACACCTACCCCCCAACCTACTATGTCTTAAGGCATGCAACAGAATTAATATAACGGAATAAAAAAAAATCGCGAATCATGTGTTTTCGCGATATATCCCTCACCGCGATTTAAAATGTCATTGTTACCAGACCCAGCCGAATTACGGCCCGTACTTAGCCGTAACCTTCCGCGCCGACAGACCGATCATTGGCACTACGTCGTGATGCTCACGTAGCGTGACTTCACGGTGCTGTCGTAGTGCGGTGCAGCTTCTGGTGTCGCTTAACGGGACGTTCGCTCTTGCTTCTAGTTTTCGGCGGGCTTTCGAATAAAAGAGAAATAGACAAGTGCAAATTCTAGCATCTCTGCACTGCAACCTACGGAAACTGAACATATTGTACAGCAGCGGCTTTGCTACAAATATAACTCTTGATCGTAGACGAGTATAATTATATGTGACATTTCGTAAGCGTCTTTTTGTCATAGTCTACGCACGTAAAGTCACCGATTTGTAGCATACGATGTGCCGCATGCGCGTAACGATTAAAATCAAAGAAAAAACGGATTGACACGTGACTTGCATAAATATACGATATGAAATCACCGAGTCGGGGCGGAGGAAGAGAATTCTGTGCGAATAGCGTGAAAACAACGTACATTATGTCGTCATCGTCATCGTCGTCGGCCTCTTTGAGCTTACGGCGTCTCTCTGTCACGAAGACGATGATGGTGAGAAGAGCGACCTGTGCTAGTATGCCTATAAACGGCCAGAGTGCCGCTAGGCGATCTGCAGCAATAACATGCGAAGACGCGAATGTACTCCCTGCACCCGCCTCATCAGCAGTGTCACAATATAGTCTATATTATTATTATTATATCATTATTATATTAATATTGACTATATTATTATCTCATCGGTTCAAGCGTAGAACTGTGGCAGTCTATTTCACTTCAGCGCGCTATAACCGCGATAGCGCAACTGGAATTTAAAGCGCTCGTGCTGAAATCATCACTCACTACCACACAACTCTCGCTGTGTAAACGCGCTGAAATGAAATCTAACGCAATGCAGCATATAATTATGTTTATGTGTGTGCGCGCGCACGTGTGCGTGTGTGTGTATGATATCGCCATCTCTTCGACGCTACTTGCGAGGGAAAATCACGAATGGTGCGAGCAGCGTGTATGTAACTGTACACAGGAACACGAGACCATACAGCTGATGCAACTTGTCGGAAGTAATTCCTCCAGGGCTATGCGGGCCGTGGCAACGCAAAGACACGCGTACAATTCAGCGAGCGTTCGCCAATTAACACTTGCTGTCTATATCCCCTCTTCGCGCACGCTCGATATGTCTACCAGCGAAAAATGTCAAAGACGCAGCTCGCGATAGATGTTGTATAGTATATTGTATAGATCTGTGGTTGGGAGTGCAGCCCGCTAGGCAAATACTCAGACGGGCGGTGTTTCAATTTATAATGACAATACCACCGGAACCGTCTTTATAGAGAGAGGCTCGAGCAAACAATTCTGGCTTCATATCGAGATGAGCGTAAATAAATACAATTACAGTCGTTAGTAGGCCGTGATTACACGAGCGGGTAGGCGTGTGCGGGCATGCGTGCGTGTGTGCGCGCGGGTGCGTACGCGTGCGAGTATACGTGCGTGCATGGGCGTGTGTGCGCACGCGTGCGTGTGTGTCAGCGTGTATGTACGTGCGTGTGTGTGCGTGCGTGTGTGTGTGTGTGTGTGCGCGCGCGCGTGTGTGTGTGTGTGTATGTGTGTGTGTGTGTGTGTGTGTGTGTGTGTGTGTGTGTGTGTGTGTGTGTGCGTGTGTGCATATTGGAATGAGATGAGCGCGCTTCATACCTTTCACCCGCACTCGCGTATGGATCGTACTGTTACCGGCTGGATTGCTAGCCGTACAACTATAGTTGCCTACGTCACCGGGCCGTCGGGCTTTCAGGATGCATAGTCTGTGAAACACACACACACCGGGAAGTAAACATTATGCGGTAAAAACCCATTGCACTGTAGTGCCGTAGTGGATATGGTCCACATGGTGTATCATGAAAAATGACCACATCCATCATGGTGTATGAAAGACTAGAGGCCAACAGCCACTCCGCGGCAGCCATGAAGGGCCCACGATGAAGGGCCATGATGGGGGAATTGATTTTCAGTTGATTTTCACACACACACACACACACACACACACACACACACACGCACGCACGCACGCACGCCCGCACGCACGCACGCACGCACGCACACACACACGCACGCATATATATATATCAGGAGTAGATAATAGGGAATCCTATTATCTACTCCTGATAGGATTAGGGGTTCCCTATTATCTACTCCTGATATATATGCATATATATTTATAATCCATTATCCTACTTATTGCTCCTACGCTCACGTTTTGTTCTCTATATCAGTGGCGTTGTCACGTGACAGCACCAGATGCTCGTCGGTGACGATCGGTGCGCCATCTTTGTGCCACTGTATGACGAACTCTGGTGGCCATCCTGCTGGTTGACACGTGATGCACAGATCATTGCCTTCAACGACCCTCTCGGACTTTCGGAAGGTGTTCGCATGAGAAAAGTACGCGGCGACTGCAAAGTACGGGAAAGTTATTATTTTATTATTATTATTAAAATTATTATTTTCCTTGCTTACAAGACTTTTAGTACTCTCACTCTCGTTCCCCTGTTGGAACCGTAAAGGTTTGAATTCCAAACCCTTTCGGTTACCAACTTTCGAATAAAAGAGAAATAGACAAGTGACAAATTCTAGCATCTCTGACACTGA